GATGTTATCGTCCGAGGGTTAATTGAACACTAGGTACAGATGAATATTGCTTATTGTTTTGCAAACTCATTCGTCAAACTCCAGAAATGATCATACAACGGTGACATTTTCCATTTCTTTTCATTTTAGTTTACGGATTATTTCTTACTTCTTTTGTTAGTCTTGCACAGTTCTGCTTTAATGCCACTTGCACTATTGGACTTTATTGCATCCCTCGAATACTATTGGAAAATTGTTAAACTTGAAAGTCTTATAAATTGTAGAAATTCGTCAAACACTCTTGCGACACAAACTACATTAAAGACTGAACCTTCTGCTTGATCCCCTTCGCCGATTTCATTTAAGTCGGTGCCCACGGGGTAGAACTTCTCCTTAAAGAGGATGTTATCAAATTCTAAAGACTTTCCGATATTTGACAATTGCTACAGCGCACAGCCAGAAATGACAAAGTTGTGATAAATGCCTCGGGAAGTATTACTTATTCTTCATAATTATGTAATTTCAATTAATTGTATTTCATTTGTTCTTAAATAAATAGGACTCATCTTACAAGTTTATTATTTTACATTTGCTCGAAAAATATTTAAACCCTGTCATACGTGAAATAAACTAAATAATAAAAATATGTGAGTTTTTTTAAACCATCGAAGAATATCCTTTTACGGTGCGATTCGTCCTATTTTTAAGCAACATGATTAAACTTCGTGACACTGCGCGGCAGTATTGCAACGCTATTCCTTATACACTGTAGCATTTGACAAATATCTAAAACTTTTTCCAATTTAACAAACCCCTTTGGCACCGACTTAAATGAAATCTGTCGAAGAGTTCAATAAGTATGAGGTTCAAACTTTAATTTAGTTTCGATCGTAATGGATTTAGATAAATTTTAACAGAGTTATGGAACTTCAAAGTTTGACAACTTTTTAGTAGTATTCAAGCGACGGAATAAATTGTTCCAATAATATACATTACGTGCGGCTATATTCACTCTGAATTTCGTATTAAATTGTGCTGATGACAATTAGCTTTCACCATTAAAAAAGATATATTTATTGGCTTGGGAGAATATCTTTTCTTTTCGTCATAATTACATTTGATAAAAAAAAGTTTGCAATAGAATTGTTTAAATACTCAAGTATTTTCTAAATGTACGTAATAGATTTTTCTATCTTGAGAAATAGTTTATTTCTTCAACTGAATTTAATAAACACACTTTTTTGGAGCATTGTATTAATACAAAACGAAAATTTTACTACGATTTTTTGCAGAAAACTCTTAACATTCAAATTTTTAGGGTTTCGTATATTTGTGACACGCAGAGTGGTAGAAGAATTACTGTGATTTACAAGGAACCTAGGCGTCGTTCATCGTACGAGGGTTAGTATACATTGCATGCTTGAAGAGTATAACAATTCCCTTTATCTCGCTTCCGGTTCTTAGAAGTTGTCAACGCTACACTCTTGTATGACAGGCGGTACACGCAGAGACAAAATGTCCATTATGCAAACTTAATCCACGTTCGCGGCGAAATAGATTACCAGTCAATTGACAGTATTTCTTTTTTGTCGATAGAAACGGTCTTTGATGTAGCGCAGCGTCAACAATACTTGTCTCGTAAATCGCATTGTCCCCTAATGGATCTTTAATTCAATTACTTAAAAACTAATAAAAATATTATCTTCATTTCTTTTTGTTAAATTCAATGATCCAGGAGTGTCAATCTGTTATTCCGTTTATTTGTTTCATGCTGATCTCAACTTCGTACCTTAAAGTTACTCGATATTGAAATAAATTTTAATATCGATAAAAAGTATCTTTTTGATTGTCCTCTAACTAACAATAAGATTAAATTTTAAAAACCAATTGACGTCGAGGCGTAAAATCACTAAATATAGACAGGTGGTGGAGAAGGTATTTTTAAACTAATAGTGTAATTTATAATAGGAGTTGAAAGACGACCAATACCACATCCCCCAGAATACGTGAAAAAGTAGACAAGCCTGTGACACTGATCTATGAAAACTGAAACAACAATTTCATGATTCTGTCACGAAAGTTTATTTCAGAACGATTCATACTTCGTTGGCCGTATAATAATAGACTCCTAACAATAGTTTGCCAACTCATGATTCGGATGAATATTCATAGACATCTTATACTTATAGCACAATTTAAGAGAAGAAGAATCTTTCGCGTGTCTTAGTGAAGAATAATTGTAGTAACAATGTTAGAAACTATGAAACAAATAAATTTAACGGATCATTCGATGATAAAGTTAACTTCGCAACATAATAGTTAAGACTGGGTTGAAAAAGCCTAATGAATATTTCAAAGTGTCGCCTTGGCGAAGTACTCTTTCGAGATTTTTAAAAACGTGCAATTTATGAAACCTAAAACAGCGTTTAGAAAAGGTTATTTCTTTCTTTAAATACATACACTAGATTGCTTTAACTGCTGCTTTATTGTATTAAAAAATCTGAACCAACCTCAAGGAACAATCCATAAAAGGAAAACACAGTCAATATTAGAATAACAATAATGCTGACCGAAAACTGTATTGTATCGATAACGATACAGCGTGTATACTATGAGCGGATACCATGAGTAAGCGGAACGCGAAAAGTGTCGAGTTATTTTTGCACAAACGCGGAGGAGGGCGGGGGTCTCACGAAGGTTGGCCAAACCATTTAATCCAACATGACTCGCAATTTCTTCCAAGACTGATCTTCGAATCTCCCATCAGTACTCTGACTCATTCCAGACACGCAACTACCTAAGCCGAATACACACAAACGTCACTGGATACCTGCCCACTGTCCGGGGTCCGTTTACATTGTTCAGGAACCCCGGTCCACGAGCAGAGTTCTAGAAGCGTCACCCTAGCTCATGGTACATCTCCCAGATTGATCCAACCAGCTTCCAATAATACACAGGGATTAGCTGTGCTTTGATCGGACTCTAGTTGCGTGGAACGTCACAATGCAGCGATAATTAAGCGCGTCTCGCGAACTTCCGTACGTCGAGGCGTCCACGAGGCGCAGAAGAAAACGGGACTAATGAGAAAAAGTTCGATGCGACGCAGTCGGAATGGTTTTAATTAAGGCGATGGGCGCAAACACGGTGCACCGAGAGCAATATTTTCACGTGTCCTATATATTTCAATCGACGCTAGAAGGGGGACCGGTTTTCCTCCCGTTGAACAGCCCGGCTCGTACTTTCTTGAATTAATTCCCTCCCTCTCGATTCGATGGAAACCGGCCGATGTCGTTTTATAATCGCCAGATGCGCGGGTAACATTCATCCCGGTACCGTGGAAATTCATCCCGTGGGATTCGTATCGAAATCGCGTCGGATTAATCGCCCGCTTGCTTAACCCTCGGTGCACGCGCGGAAATTATGTTTACCGGGGCCGCGCGAACGTTAAATATTTCTTCAGCACGCGGTACCCCGTTTTTCAAGGAGTCTCTGGGATCGATTCACAACGGATTAAGATTTCCAGAGGGGGGCGTTTATTGCTTCGCTGTCGCTGCCGATGGACACTCTTTTCTCGAGAAATAATCCGTCACAGCCGTACGAGACGTCCTATTATTCTCGATACAACTAGACAGGAGGCGATTCCTCGCGAAGAAATAAATTTCGTTTTCGAAATAATTGTATTTATATATTATCTTCGTCTTAATTTTTCGCGAAGAATCGCTCCTTGTTTGGTTGTACCACAAACGATGGAGCACTCTGTATATATATTTCTCTCTGATGAGGGGTCTTCGGCACAAAGCGGGGCTTAACCCATTTATTGCCGTAAGTAGAAATTTTAGACCTCGCAAACGGTACAAGTTCTCAAATATAAAACGGAACTATCATCTCCGGGGCATACAAACCACCGATTACTTTGTTCGGAAAGATTGAAAACTGAATCGTTTTCTAGGAATATTTTCTCAGGAGGACTGTGTATAGAATGAAAAGCATAAACGGATTAAAGTTAATTGACCCTAGCGAAAGAAGGATTCCAAACTACTGTATCACAGCATGACGTGCTTAAGGATCTAAGTCAGGTTTCTTGGACACGAACCGCTAAAATGGTTTGTTAGTGATAATCTCAGTATACTATCGTGCAAAGAAAAATCTATTTAATGATTTGTATCCAATAGGAGCATCGTTTCGACGGTTCTTCAATTATTCATTGTTAAAAGAGAATTTCAAGTAAATATGTACACACGAGATAGTAGTTTTATTCTATAAATATTTTTTAATTGGGCATAATTGGATGAGAATACTTATAACTGACTCAAAAATCCCATTTGAACGTTCCTATTCTTCACACTATAATTTCAACAAATGTCGAGGGTATACCTAGGCATAGCAAACCGGCTTATCGGTCAACGTGTTAACCCTTTGCCTTTACCAAGTATGCCTTCCAGGCATAGTCGATGTCTGGCGAGCTACTTCAAGTATGCCTTCCAGATACATCAAAGTGTGCGCCGATACTCGTATCCCGTCTATTCCCCAAGGAACGAAAGGAATTATATTCGCGTCTTAGAATAACGTAGTTAACGTGTGCGGCGTCGAGGAAAAATAAGTTAAAATCATAGGTCGATTGCCGTGCAGAAAAGTCACAGCGCAAACCGACTCAAGCAAATCGCTCGTATTTGTTCGACGAAGCGTACGTGCGGGCCGGTAGCCAACAAACCGCCTTCACGGCGAGAAAAGCCCAGTTAGGAGTTTGTATCCAACAAAGGTATCGCCAAACACGTTGACTGTCACGTTGGACCCTCGACGTTCCTTTAAAACTGCATCTCCGTTGTTCGCTCTTTCTTTCCTCTACAAAAGTCAAACCGTCCGAGACCGACTCAAGGAAATCGCCTTGTGTTTGTCCCATCGACCGTAGAAACGATTCGTTCCCGTCGCCCGCTGGATCCCGCATAGACATAAACGCAAACTTCTAGCCCGCATACCCGCGCAATAAAAACGCCTTGGGACGAGTGGCAATCAGTACTTACGTGTACGTCGGGCGATACGAAAGAGCGTCGCGACAGACTCAATCGTAGCGGGCCATAGCGGGACACACACTCACACGCGCACGCTTTTCAATCCCCCTGATGTCTGAGCTCTCGGAAACTTATGATCCGTCAGCTATCGAGCAGCCGTATAAACTGGATTCACGAGTCGGAAATTCTTCGATGCGATCCACTATCGATCGCAGACCCACCGGATCATTCTTCCGCGAACACTAAAATCCCTTCTTCTGTTCCCGAACCAGTCTTTATAGATAATCTAAACACCGAATTAACCGGTACTCTACATTTATCTTTCTTTCTTTTTCTTTTAATTTTCACAATACTTGGTAGATCGAGGATCTCCCAATCACTGTTCCAGCGACTCGGTGCGTGTCACCCGTAGCACTGCGTGGCGCGCGTTTACGTGACGATACGAAGCACAAGAGAAGCGGGCGGACCGCGCGCGGCTCGCAACTTCGCGCGAGACAAACTCGGAGTCTCTTCGAGCCGATGGGACGCCGACGCCGGCGCTGCCGCCGCCGCTGCCCGCCGGGGGTCGAGGATGGCTCCGGCTTCGCGACTGCGCCCTTTCGGCTCTCTTCAACCCATTACGGTTCTCACCCGTTCGCGCGCACAGGCATAAACATACACGTACAGGACAGACGTTATCATACAGAGACGCGCGCGATGTAAGGCCGACACGACCAGCGCGCTCCTCTCCCCCTCCCCCCTCCTCATCCTCCACCACCCGTGCCACCACTGTAATAACGTAACCCGCCTTTGTGTGGGTGCGTTGCTTCTTCCCTCCGGCCTCATCCCCGTCCGCGACGGTATCCCCTTCAGCCGCAACACGTAGCCACGCAGCTACTAGCCCTCTGTGCGCGCAACCCCACAGCGATGCATCATCGTATCGCTTTATGTCTCGCCTAACATTTTATTAACCAGAAATCAAGTGCATCGCCGTTTTCTTTCCGCCCGTCGTCAAAGGGCTATCTATAACGAGCTGCTCGGACGCGACGCCGGGACGGGCGTGTGTTCGATCAATCGTCGTGTCGAGATTTTGCCAGAGCCTGAGGATGTTCTGCCCCTCCTCGACGAGGGTAATTGACTCTTTGGTGGAGGGGAAAAGGATGTTAAACGAGCAATCGCGTGTCCCGATCGTTGCGGTTTGAGAGGAGGGAGAAGGCCACGCGCTGGATCTTGATTGGCAGTACCGTGAAACAAGCGAAGAAGAACTTTTCTTCACATCTCACGGTAGTATCGTTAGACGGGAATCGCTAATTGTATCTTATGTGGAGGTTTATGTCTAACGAGGAGGGGTGTTAACTCCTTTGACTCGTTTTAAGTTCTTTATGCCAAGTATTACAAGAACGATGGAGTTTGACTACACTCGCGATGAAGTCTGATACATTAAAACCAATATTGTATTCGAGATATTCGTGAAACGAGTCTGTTCATTTTCGCGAACGTCTGAAGAACCGTAAAAGGCTCGATTAAAATGCATGTTTGGAGCGATGGAATTGCACTGGAGGACTCTATTAGCATCTTTGGATCGTTGGTTTGATGAAATTCGAGACAAGTTAATTCTTCAAGGTCTCAAATACCGAAATCAAGTTTGATTCGATAGAAGATTTTGTGTCGATTATGAAGTATAAACTCCGAGGAAAATACGATGAATTAGTTCGATGACTTAAGCTAAGAAGGTTCGTCAAAATTCAACGGTTTAATGTAAAATCAAACATGATCTGTTCATTAATACTAATATTATGCTGCACCTAGGTTCCAATTTCTTCCTCCCAGATGCTCTTGGGTCGTTGATAGAGGCGCATCCCTGTGAAGACGCCAATATGGATTTGTGGGGTGGTTTCCTGAATTTTGCATGCGTCTTATACAAGCCTGCTGCATAAGGCATGCAGATATGCAACGGACGGACGTCGTATGCGCCCTTAATTTGAGAAACCGGTCCGCAATCCCGTAATCCTTGTCCGAAGTCTGGCATTCCCATAAGTTTACGTTATACCAATCACTGTTGGCAAGCTGGAAGAAACTCGAACTTCTTCGAGTTCTAATTAGCATACGGAATTTCCATGTTCAGAACCAACTAAACGTAAACAATATAAATATGCTTCCAAGATCATTTTCTGGATTACAAAAATATTAACACATCTCCAATACTTTTTCTCGTTTTATTTCTGATCTACTAATTGAAATATGGAAACGAAAATTAATTTTTTAAAGCACCTTTTAAATCAAATATCTTTTCAAATAATCAGAATTTAATTTTGTACGACTCTTATTTGAAACATTCTTGTTTAAATTAAAAACGTATTAGGTTAACGTATATAATTATTGTTAAAGTAATCGAAATTAATGAAATTTTCAAGCCTGATATGGCCTGTTACACAGTATTTTCTATTTTTAACTTTTAATATAATTTTCTATATGATTAATATTATTTATGCTGAATTATATATATGCGTAATTGTCTTCAGCGTGTTAAAGAAAAAACTAAAATTAGTTGATTAGAACAAAGTAGTCATTATTCTTTATACCAACTCTCGAACGGACACGAGGTATAAGGCTTTTATCTAGTCTATCCAGCCTTGGACACCATTGCAGCAGAAGCTCGTTCATTGCATTGTTTTGACAAGTGGAAGGGATGGTCACTTGACAACAAGTGGATTAGTATAGAGTGTACAGTAAAGTGAAATAGTATAGACATATTGTGTGAGTGCCGTTACTCCACATTGGATTGACTAGTGTAGGAATTTTCACGACTCTTTAACTGCAATAACCGAAGTTCTACTGTAACAGGTTGACTGATTACTTCTTTTAGAGCTCTTGAATAACACTTTGTTAGCACGAAACAGATTTTACAAATACCCAACAGCTACGAACGTTTCAAGCTATTGTTGCGACAAAGCATTGAAAAGTTTGATAAAAAATAACGATACTTTTATAATAAATAATTGAAATTGTTTAAATTCAATTATGAGGGAGTAACAGCTGTTGCAAAATTATAAACTTGATGTTGCATTGCAACCCTAAATAAAAGCTACACAAATAAACTGTGGAATACTTTCTATTGTATTAAACGTACAGTATGAAGTTCATCCCATAAGCATTTAAAAGAAAAGACACACAAGTGTTTCTGAAATAATGTGTGAGATAATACAATGGAGCCATGTAGAATGCTGCTATCACAATCTGATTGGCGCGCTCGATACTTTGATTAAATCGTGCCTGGCTGCTCACCGGTTGAAGTTTGATTGCTTCGAGAAGATGCTACCCAAATGACTGCTGACTGAATATAAATTAGACACTGGGGTTCTTGTCTTTCTAGAGACGTTGTTATCTTCCTTTGATTACATTCTAGAAGCATTTCTCCTGGCGCGATTTGTGGCTCGTTATTTAAAAAATCCTTGGCTTAAAGTGAATCAGATTGCTACTGAAAATAGGCAATGGAAATTCCCAGTTTTAGATGAAATTTCAAGTTTTCTTGTGAAAAGATAATATCTCTGTCTAGTAAACACCTAGTTAGTTCTGAAATTCAACGAAATATTTATTTAAAATAGTAACAATACATTTACCACTGCTAATAAGTAGTTATATACAGGGTGTTCGGCCACCTCTAGCAAAAATTTTAATGAGCGATAGTAGAGGCCAAAATAAGACGAAAATCAAGAATACTAATTTGTTGATGGAAGCTTCGTTAAAAAGTTATTAACAATTAAATTCAAAAATTTCAAATCGTTCTGGAAAAATTATTTTCGGTTGCGGGGGTCAACTACAATCATTTTTGGTGAGTACACATACCTCCGAAATCCTATCTACTTTCGAGAAAAAAAATCGAGTAGGTGCTGAAATTTTTCGGCGAAAAAAAATCTTTCAAATCGTTTTAAAAAAATTATTTTCGGTTGCGGGGATCAATTACAATCATTTTTTATCATTACACATACCTCCGAAATCGTACGTACTTTCGAGAAAAAATTCCTTAATGAAAATCCAATTAGGTGCCTAAATTTTTCAACGGAGAAAAAAAATTGCAAATCGTTGTGGAAAAATTATTTTCGGTTGTAGGGTTCAATTACAGTCATTTTTGGTGAATAGACATACCCCCGAAATCTTGCGCATTTTCGAGAAAAAAATTCAGTAAGAGCGGCACTTTAAACGTTAATAACTTTTTAACGAAGCTTCCACCAACAAATTAGTATTCTTGATTTTCGTCTTATTTTGGCCTCTACTATCGCTCATTAAAATTGTTGCTAGAGGTGGCCGAACACCCTGTATATAGTTATAAATAAGTATTTATTTTGATTTCTATTTTAAAAATTTAAATATATTTCGTGCATGCAATTTGAAAATGCAGATTAACGATGACTTAATTGCAAATAATACTTAATATCGATTAAATTGTTGACCGTTTAATTACAGTTACGCAGTTTTACACATATGTTTTGTAAAATTGTTAATCCATCGATGGTGTCAGTGATTCGTGCCATTCGAGGAATATTTGGATCAGTTCGCGCCCATGCTTCTAGTTATCACATGATTGAAACGCTAGATGGCACTACTGCAGCTGTGTGACCGTGTCCGAGAAATCACCATATCGTTGACTATGTGATAGCATCTGATAACGCGATTAATCTATGCACACATAGATGTACCATACATCCTTTAGTTATACACGAAGGCAGTACTCACCAGATCAAACTAAATAAGCTTAACGAACGTAGATTCGGACATTTGTTCTCAAGAAACATCCTCTTTAATTAAATTTAACCTTGCGTAAGAGCAACACATATGTATATTCAATATGGACATCCTTACAAAACACGCTTCAAGACGTGTCTTTCGAGAATACCGAATTAGTTTTAAAGATACAACATTAATATCGTATTTATGTACAGCTTAAGTAACTGTAGGTAAATTTTTATTCATAAGTAAATTTATATACTAATAACATTGTACGTATCTTATGACTTAATAAAACACAACACATAGTAATACATTAGTATATAATTTTAATTATTTAATTGCATATTCAGAAGAACAGAAAATATATGTAAATTACAAAATTATTTTCGAACGATTTGGTTGTTTCAAATAATAATGGTGTAAAATATAAAACAGTCTTTCGGCACAATAAGCATGTTTATTAACGTAAATTATTGGCTCTTAATAGAAAATGACATTCAAACATTTCATTCGATAATTGACTTGCAGCGTCATTAATAATGGTAGCGAATGAAAATAGCCATTTAACAACGCTCGATGATGGAAGAGGAATATTATAATACATAATTAATTATATCTCTGTCAAACTGCGACTGCGTGCATTCTCTTTTATTCGTTTTACTCTTCCTCTTTCCTGATCTATTACAGTTTCCAGTTGAATTTTTATTGATCGTAAAAAATTGATTTTATATAGGATACAATTCTTATCTAATTTATCGAGGCTAAATTGAAACGATA